CACACATATATATATATATATATATATATATATATACATACACACACACACACACACATATATATATATATATATATATATATATATATATATATATACATATACATATACATATACATATATATATATATATATATATATATATATATATGTACATATATATATAGATACATACATATATATATATATATATATATATATATATATATATATATATATATATATATATATATATATATATAGATATATATATACATACACAGACACAGAGACACAGAGACACACACACATATATATACAAATATATACAATATATATATACATATATAGAACGAACTATAGATTTATGGGCATCCTTTCATATAAATATATACACATAAAGAATAGTGATGCGATTTTCTTTTACCACAGACCACCGCGTGATACCGTTTAATATACACAGAACACACACAAGAGCACATACCCTATTGGCGTTGGTGATATGCGCAAAAGGACACCGGAATAGTGAATCTCTCCACATGCAGCTCCCAGAAAGATAATTCTTGCATACTTGAAGTTGCCATCTATCGGCATTCTTGCTCATTGTGTAAGTTCACAGTCTGTATCCTAATTCAAAAGCTTGTAATACACCTGTGAGCGACTACACACATGTATACGTGCCCTGATCACAACATATTTCACATATATCTACTAGAAATGATTCGCGTTTCCATGGCAGCAGTCAGATTCAGATGCATGGCTGTGGCATATAATATACTTGAACGTAGCTATACTAAAACACTACACAGTAAAATACACGTCCTTTTCATAGCCTTCTAAAAACATTACAGCACATATGTATTGTCGCACACAGGCTACATATGTCCATTGACTTATGTTACTGCACTCACACGTTATAAATATATATTTTTTTTAAAAAACATTATAAATCCAAAATAGTTTCATTAGGGTTTTTGGGTTTGTTTTTCTATATAAAAACTTGTATGTACAACATACATACATATTTAAAAAAAACAAAAAAATATATATAATAAATCCCCCCCTCTCAAGTCTCAACTCCCTGGACCCTGCGCCTGCGGTGGGAGGGGTATTTAAAAGCTCAAAACGATATCAATAAATAATTAAATACGTTAAAAACCGTATGGCTCGTTCCGTGTGTATTTGCTGTGTCCGTTGAACGTAAGCGTATAGAGATTTGATATGAAAACCTGACGATCAAAGTAAACGTGAAACATAAACGTAAAATGTATTGACGTTTTATACGTTTCACAACTTTCGAACGCATATGAGGTCAAACTTCAAAGGACCGGAAAAGTTGACCAAAATGAGTAGTTTTATTACTAGAAAAGTCAATATCTGTAATAGTCTGTGGCATTTTGAAATAGTACGGACCAATAAAAATCGTACACTTCTTTACTGAGTCAGGACTGTCATACCACCTACATGCTTTTAATTGCTTATATTTACATGACATACTGCACCTGCGAGTCTGTGCATTATGTATATGTTATATGATAGGTCCCTTCTCTCTTCCGCTATACCACACACGTGTCTCCCTCTCGTGCGTTGTTGAGTATTTAGTGTCAGCGCATGCACGCTGCCTCTCACAGTTGTTGTGTACAGGTATACTTAACTTTGAAGTGCAGTCATGGAGGAATCTCATTCTCAACGGAACAGCACCAACGTTGAAAGCGATGACAATGTTCGTGCCCTCAGGAGACGCCCGAGAATTGCCTCTCTAGACATATTCCGTGGGTTTACAGTATGTGCATACTATAAGCACC